ATGTTGGCCAGGATGGTCTCGATCTCTTGACCTCGTGATCCACCCGCCTCGGCCTCCCAAAGTGCTGGGATTACAGGCTTGAGCCACCGCGCCCGGCCAGGAGTACTTTTTTTTTTTTTGAGAACAAGTCTTACTCCGTCACCCAGGCTGGAGTGCAGTGGTGCAGTCTTGGCTCACTGCAACCTCTGCCTTCTGGTTTCAAGCAATTCTCCTGCCGCAGCCTCCCGAATTGCTGGGATTACAAGCACACGCCACCACACCTGGTTAACTTTTGTATTTTTAGTAGAGATGGGGTTTCACCATGTTGGCCAGGCTGCTCTCAAACTCCATAGCGGGAGTACTTCCTAGATAATCTTGCTTGGAGTACTTCTAGATATCATGCTTGTTTTTATAGTGAATGTATTGTTTCATAATATTTTATCACATGGTCACTATTTACAACAGAAAATAACAAATGTACAAAGGTAAAAACTACTTGTCAACTGAAAAAGTGGACACATTCCAAAATAAACTTGAGTAATGTACTGTCAAGAATAAAATGCTTTTATTTTATATTTAAATTTAATTTAATAGAGGTGGAGTCTCACTATGTTGTCTAGGGTGGTCTTGAATTCCTGGCCTCAAGCAATCCTCCCACCTTGGCATCCCAAAGTGTAGGGATTACAGGCATGAACCACCATGCCTGGCCCAAAATGTTTTTAAAAGCTTAGAAACATATTCTGGATAATCCTTTTGTCGTGGAGAATCTTGAAGCATTAATTAGTAATGGGATGTTAGGCCCACTAGGACAGATCTGTATACCCTTCTGAGTGTGTGACAGAATAGCCCAGACCACCACAGGATTTGATGGAAATACAGTCATTCAAATAATTTATTAGTCAAATAAATGAAGGCTAGAGATTTATGCTTAGATATTTCAGCAAGCTCTTTGTTAAATCTCATAAGATTTTTTTTGAAAATCAACCCTATATTTTGAATGATAAATTGAAATAGTCAAAATTTGTGTTGTTTAAAGATCCAAGGGAGCTGGGCATGGTGGCTTATGCCTGTAATCCCAGCACTTTGGGAGGCCGGGGCAGGCAGATCGCTTGAGGTCAGGAGTTTGAGACCAGCCTGGCCAACATGATTGAAACCCCATCTCTACTAAAAATAACAAAAGCCAGACGTGGTGGCAGGTGCCTGGAATCCCAGCTACTCGAGAGACTGAGGGAGGTGAAGTGCTTAAACCCAGGAGGTGGAGATTGGTTGCAGTGAGCTGAGATCACACTACTGCACTCCAGCCTGAGTGACAGAGCAAGACAACGCCTCAAAAAAAAGATCCAAGGGAAACAGATCAAAGTAACATTTCACTTTTATGAAGGAAATAAGTGATAGTCAAACAGTCTTCTGGTCATAAAAGAAATCCAGAATCCTTCAGCCAGATAGATATTCAATGTCAAGGCCGGGTGCAGTGGCTCATGCCTAGAATCCTAGCACTTTGGGAGGCTGAGGTAAGAGGACTGCTTGGGGCCAGCCTGGGCAAAATAGACCTCCATTTCTACAAAAAAAAAAAGCCAGGCATGGTAGTGTACACTTGTAGTCCTTTTTTTTTAAATTGCATTTTAGGTTTTGGGATACTTGTGAAGAACATGCAAGATTGTTGCATCAGTACGCACATGGCAGCGTGATTTGCTGCCTTCCTCCCCTTCACCTATATCTGGCATTTCTTCCCATGCTATCTCTCCCCAGCTCCCCACCCCCCGCTGTCCCTCCCCTGTTTCCCCCCAACAGAACCCAGTGTGTGATGCTCCCATCCCTGTGTCCATGTGTTCTCATTGTTCAATACCCGCCTATGAGTGAGAACATTCGGTGTTTTATTTTCTGTTCTTGTGCCACATTTTCCCTGTCCAGTCTATCATCGATGGGCATTTGGGTTGGTTCTAGGTCTTTGCTGTTGTAAACTGTGCTGCAATGAACATTCGTATGCATGTGTCCTTATAGTAGAATGATTTATAAACCTTTGGATATATACCCAGTAATGGGATTGCTGGGTCAAATGGTATTTCTATTTCTAGGTCCTTGACGAATCTCCACACTGTCTTCCACAGTGGTTGAACTAATTTACACTCCCACCAACAGTGTAAAAGTGTTCCTGTTTCTCCACATCCTCTCCAGCATCTGTTGTCTCCACATTTTTTAATGATCACCATTCTAACTGGTGTGAGATGGTATTTTCAATGTAGTTTTGATTTGCATTTCTCTAATAACCAGTGATGATGAGCATTTTTTCATATGTTTGTTCGCCTCATGTATGTCTTCTTTTGTAAAGTGTCTGTTCATATCCTTCACCCACTTTCGAATGGGCTTGTTTTTTTCTTGTAAATCTGTTTTAGTTCTTTGTAAATTCTGGATATCAGCCCTTTGTCAGATGGGTACACCGCAAAAATTTTTTCCCATTCTGTTGGTTGCCAATTCACTCTAATGACTGTTTCTTTTGCTGTGCAGAAGCTGTGGAGTTTGATTAGGTCCCATTTGTCTATTTTGGCTTTTGTTGCCAATGCTTTTGGTGTTTTGGTCATGAAGTCCTTGCCTACGCCTATGTCCTGAATGGTTTTGCCTAGATTTTCTTCAAGGGTTTTTATGGTTTAGGTCTTATGTTTAAGTCTTTAATCCATCTGGAGTTAATTTTAGTGTAAGGTGTCAGGAAGGGGTCCAGTTTCTGCTTTGTGCACATGGCTAGCCAGTTTTTCCAACACCATTTATTAAACAGGGAATACTTTCCCATTGCTTGTTTGTTAGGTTTGTCAAAGATCAGATGGTTGTAGATGTGTTGTGTTGCCTCCGAGGCCTCTGTTCTGTTCCATTGGTCTATATCTCTGTTTTGGTACCAGTACCATGCTGTTTCGATTACTGTAGCCTTGTAGTATAGTTTGAAGTCCAGTAGTGTGATGCCTCCTGCTTTGTTCTTTTTGCTTAGAATTGACTTGGCTATGCGGGCTTTCTTTTGGTTCCATACGAAGTTTAAGGTGGTTTTTTTCCAGTTCTGTGAAGAAGGTCATTGGTAGCTTGATGGCAATAGCGTTGAATCTGTAAATTACTTTGGGCAGTATGGCCATTTTCACAATATTGATTCTTCCTAACCATGAACATGGAATGTTTCTCCATCTGTTTGTGTCCTCTCTTATTTCGTTGAGCAGTGGCTTGTAGTTCTCCTTGAAGAGGTCCTTTACGTTCCGTTAGTTGTATTCCTAGGTATTTTTTTCTCGTTGTAGCAACTGTGAATGGCAGTTCGTTCTTGATGTGGCTCTCTTTAAGTCTGTTATTAGTGTGTAGGAATGCTTGTGATTTTTGCACATTGATTTTGTATCCTGAGACTTTGCTGAAGTTGCTTATCAGTTTCAGGAGATTTTGGGCTGAGACGATGGGGTCTTCTAGATATACAATCATGTCGTCTGCAAATAGAGACAATTTGACTTCCTCCTTTCCTGTTTGAATACCGTTTATTTCTTTTTCTTGCCTGATTGCTCTGGCTGCACTTAACAGTTCTAGCTACCTGGGAGACTGAGGTGGGAGGATTGCTTGAGCCCAGGTCAAAGCTGCAGTGACTTATATTTGTGTCACTGCACTCCAGCCTGGGTGACAGAGTGATACCATGCATGTCTCAAAAAAAAAGAAATATCAAAATCACAAGGGAGGGTAGGGTAACAGAATTTATTTAATTATACAAACTTACCCTCCCAGTCCAGATTATTAGGGAGCCATTCTGTATGTTTATTGTACTGGGCTGCACTGTAGTGGCACCATACAATCACATGCCGTTTAAACTGCATCACCTATCTTATTCTGAGATGTAGATCCAAGGGAATGTTGACTCTAAAATCACTCCCTATTAATGATAAATACATGGGTATTGTGGGTATTGTTTTTTTAAGCTCTAGAAATACTTTGACTAGAGGTAGCATTTTAAAAGTAAATACCTGGTATTCTCAAGGTAGCTCATCCCTTGAAGTAGATGAAACTCATTTATTTAGATTATTCTGACATTCTAAAATAAAATTAGCCTTTGATACTTTTATTTACTTTTGAAATAATCTTCTAAATCCAGTTGTTAATAAAACCTAAGTCATTTATATATAAAAGGTGCTTATTTAGTAATAAGACAAATTGTCATTTATGGTTGCCTTGTTAGGCTATAATGCTTTCATTATTTTAATAAACTATACAAGTAGTTCTATGGAAGTCTCCTTTATTTTAATAATGGCTATTTGAAATCTTTCAGAACCTTCTGAGGAAAGGAGGCCATACAGAGATTGAACCTCAGCACTTTTGTCAAGCTTTCCACAGAGAAAATGATACACTCATCGTCATCATCAGAAATGAAGATATATCATCACATTTGCACCAGGTATGTTGGAAATATCTTTCTTACAAATGTATTCCAGGCACGTAAGTTGTTCCATAATGATCAGACTCATCACTTTTTATGTAGAAGAGAAGCCTACAGACATACTACTATTGGGCCTTTAAGTGGGAAGATAGTATACTATAGAATACTGCAGTATTACCAAAGTATTTGTAGGGCAGATAGTTAAAAAATTTCATATTAACTGAGACTTAGGTGAAAAATTGCTAAATTTTTTCACGTAAGATAAATCGGCATCACTTGATGTCTAACAGTGAAATCTTGCCTTAAAAGACATTTTGAAAAATTTCTCAATCATCATATTTACCAGTGAGTTGAAAGTAATTGCTTGTCCAACTATGGACAAAGGCTGGGTGCATAAACCTGCCGTTGTCAGCAGGCAGTCATCGGTGCTGGCACCGTCAGGGAGCTGGAGACAAATGACAGTGAGGTGAGGTGAACTGACTTGTTACTTTTCAGTCCCCACGACCTCAGATGTGTACTCTTCCTTCTTGATATATTATTGCCCCCCTTTGGGACTTTGAGACCTTCTTTTTTATGAACTAATTTTGATGAATTTGCAGCCGATGGTGATAAGCTCACTTAATATGCCTCATGCAGGGGAGAATGACCAGTCAATAATCCAGGATAAAGTATTTTCAGCTGCTCCTGAACCTTCAGTCTCTTGGATAGAAAAGCAAGGGAGTGTCTAAGAAATTGTGCCCGGTGAGACTCTTTTCAAAGGGGTCCTTTTCATGTCATGCAGATTCCTTCTTTGCTGAAGCTGAAGCATCTGCCCAGTGTTGTCTTTGCTGGAGTAGACGGCCCTGGAGATGTTCTCGATCACACCTACCAAGAGCTGTTTCGTGCAGGAGGCTTTCTGGTATCAGATGACAAGATATTAGAAGCCTTAACATTAGGTTGGTCTTTATTTTCTTTTCTTGTTTCTTTGAAGTCTAGTCAAATCAACTTCTCACCTAGTGACCTAAATTACTGTTTCATCCAAAAGAAATGAGCAACTCTAAAGAATATCAGTTGCCCCCTACTGAGTGCATAATTTCTGCTGTCTGCTGTGCTGTTTTCATATAGTAATTCTCTTACAGCGGTGCTTTACCCTATTTTAACTGATAATCGTTGACTACCACACTTGCTTCTACGTTCCCTCCCTCTCAGTATGCGGCTAAGCTCCTAATCATAAAAATTCAGAATTTTATTATATTTAGTCCCTTTACTTGCCAAGTCAGATCAGTTCCATATTAAATTTTGTGCTTAAAATCAATCTCCATTTCTGATGTCATCACCCACATCATCTTGATATCACAAAAATCTAAAAAATGACTACTAAGTCATCTTATTTAATCATCTGCTTGAAAACTGGTAATTGAGTTCTCTCAGGGCACTTTTATGTGTAAAGCCTACCTCAGCTCTGATCACATTGGAAGTGATACCACTTCTAGATCAAAACAGCATGTACCTTAACCAGAGGGACTTCTATACAAACTGGGATTTTAAATATTTGTAGGCTCACACCTGTAATCCCAACACTTTGGGAGGCTGAGGCAGGAGGATCCCTTGAGCTCAGGAGTTCAAGATCAGCCTGGGCAACATAGGCTTCGTTTCTACAAAAAATAGAAATGCTAGTCAGATGTGGTGGTCTATATCTGTAGTCCCAGCTAAGGATGGAGGGTTACTTGAGCCCAGGGGGTCGAGGCTGTAGTGAGCTGAGATTGTGCCACTCCAGCCTGGGTGACAGACCTGAAACAATGTCTCCCAAAAAAAATGTAGCTTCTGTATTTAGAACTTTGGCCTCCCATTTCTCTACTGCAACTGGGCCTCCTGCTTCTCTTGTGTCACACAATTTGTACACAGAATTCCAGTTACTGGTGACCACTCCACTGTGTTCATGTCTACCCAGTTTTCTCCCACCATAGTGTGAGCAGGTGAGACTAGGTTGAGGGGCTTGTTGAGAGCGGGATGCTGCCCAGCCACAGAAGTGACAGTTGTGGTGTGCACTCAACCACGGGTCTTTGTCTATTTTTTTCTTGTTTTACAAATGACCACTGGGCTTTGCATGAACCAAAAATACCCTACCTAAAATTGTCATCTTCTCTTGCTAAGTTGATTCTGTTTTGTAGTTCAACTGAAGGAAATCATCAAAATCCTGGAAAAACTAAATGGAAGTGGAAGATGGAAGTGGCTGCTTCACTATAGGGAAAGTAAAAAGCTAAAAGAAGATGAAAGGTAAGGACTTGCTCTGTGTATGGTTCTTCCTGCCCTGCTAGGGGAAAGAGAGAAACCACATGTTCCATGGCTCTCGCGTAGTGCTGCAATGGAAATTGCCTTCATCAGTAAAGGGTGTCAGGGTTGCTGGCTCTGTATTCAGTGAAGGAAGCTATGTGCTGTGACCATAACCAACAGCATGAGGCATGTACTTCTCTACACTAACAAAAGTAAGGGAGTCAAACTTAGGAGTCACGAAACGTCCATATTGTTCTATTTAAGCCCTACTACTACAAGCTGAAAAAATATTTATAAGTTACCACTATTTTAAGGAGAATGGAAAAATTAAGACCATAATCTGTCCTTAATTCAATTGTACCCTAAAAGAGGAGGCTTATAAATAGCCAAATTTCCCTAAATCTAAAGCTTTAATTTGTAAAAGAAAAAAAAATGTTTGATTTCTTGGCTGAAGAGAGCTGGGGTTGAGAGGTTCCTCCACATTCTCACAGGCAGGACCAATTGGAAAAACAGACCTGACAAGCCCTTGTGAAATGAGGATTTCAAGCACTGATAGGTGCTTTACATCTGTTACCTCACTCAGACTTCAGCCCTAGGAGGTGGATAGCACGTCCTCACTTTCATGATGCAGAATTGAAGCACAGAGTGGGTAACAGACATGACCAAGTCAAACAAGTAGTAAGTTTTCAAGGTGGGTTTCAGTCCCAGAATGAGAGAACCACTGCTAGCTGCGTATGACCTTTAAGGAAAGAAGCTCCTATGCACAGAATTTCGGAAAGGTTTTCTCTTGGAAGTAGAACTAACAAAAGAGAGAAAGAGCACAGGTTTCCTAGGCAGGAAAGGAGGGTGCAAAGGCTTCAGCAGGTCAAGGGTATGACCAGTTCACAGAGGACTTCAATAACTAGCACTGTAGGGGAAAATGTCAACTTCTGTAGTAAGTAGAGAAGCACATTTAAGGCTCTGATGTACCACAGCACACCTATAAAATTAATAAGCATAAATTAATCTAGCACCTCCAGGGCTTTGGGTGAAGGCATATGTCACTTAAGGATGGGGATACAGCTTGAGAAATGTCATCAGGCAATTTTGTCTATGTGCAGACAGAGCGTACTTAACACAAACTTACATGGTAGAACCTACTCCTAGGCTGCAAACCTGTACGTCCAAATACTGTAGGCAGATTTAATGCAATGGTAAGTATTTGTATGTCTAAACACAGAAAAGGTACAGTAACAACACAGTATTATAATTTTATGAGACCACCATCTCATATGTGGCCCGTCACTGAAACATCATGACGTAGTGCGTGACCGTACTCACTGCTGTTGGCACTGTAATATGCTCTTGAAATTATACCACTCTGGCATTATCATTATGTATTAATGAAAACTCTCATATCCTTTGACCTTTTGTGGAATTTACCCAGAATTCTAGGTGGTCATCAGTAATAGAAAAAACCACCTCACTTCCATCTTTAGGAGGGAGATATGTGGACTACAGTTAAATATTGTAAAAAGTTTATACAGGCTGGGCGCGGTGGCTCAAGCCTGTAATCCCAGCACTTTGGGAGGCCGAGGCGGGTGGATCACAAGGTCAAGAGATCAAGACCATCCTGGTCAACATGGTGAAACCCTGTCTCTACTAAAAATACAAAAATTATCTGGGCATGGTAGCACGTGGCTGTAGTCCCAGCTACTTGGGCAGCTGAGGCAGAAGAATCATTTAAGCCCCAGAGACGGAGGTTGCAGCAAGCCAAGATCATGCCACTGACTCCAGCCTGGGCAACAGAACAAGATTCCATCTTTAAAAGAGGAAAAAAAAAAAAAAACAAAAGGAAAAGACCAACGAGAAAGGCAGAGGAGATCAAGTTTGAATGGTTAAACCGAAGGCAAGAAAAAGTCTTAAGAATCAAACAACTGCCGGGCGCGGTGGCTCAGGCCTGTAATCCCAGCACTTTGGGAGGCCGAGGCGGGTGGATCACAAGGTCAAGAGATCGAGACCATCCTGGTCAACATGGTGAAACCCCGTCTCTACTAAAAAATTAGCTGGGCATGGTGGCGCGTGCCTGTAATCCCAGCTACTCAGGAGGCTGAGGCAGGAGAATTGCCTGAACCCAGGAGGCGGAGGCTGCGGTAAGCCGAGATCACGCCATTGCACTCCAGCCTGGGTAATGAGAGCGAAACTCCGTCTCAAAAAAAAAAAGAATAAAACAACTGAAAATTAACATTTTAACATTCCTGTATATCTTTCAGAGTGGATTCCACTGCACATAAAAAGAACATAATATTGAAGTCATTTCAGAGTGCAAATATCATTGAATTGCTTCATTATCACCACTGTGACTCTCGATCATCAACAAAAGCGGAAGTTCTGAAATGTTTGCTAAACCTGCAAATTCAGCATATCAATGCCAGGTTTGCCGTCTTCCTAACAGGTAATTCACAGGCTCATTTTACTCAGCTAATGCCAAAATTGGTCAGCTCTAGGGATGTCCATTTAGATACCTGATAGTATTCATCAGATATCTAAGTGGCTTGGCTTCCCATGGATACCAGTCACTCAACTCTGATGCTGAAGCCCTTATATAAAATGTAGTATTTTGCAGATAACTACACAGTCCTCCTATATACGTAAATCAGCTCTAGATTACTTATAATAGTCAATACAGTATAGTTGTACCATATTGGTTTTTTTTTAAGTTAATAGCAATGGCTCATGCCTGTAATCCCAGCCCTTTGGGAGGCCAAGGTGGACAGATCACTTGATGTCAGCATGATGAAACCCCATCTCTACTAAAATACAAAAATTAGCCAGGCATGGTGGTTCATGCCTGTAGTCCCAGCTACTTGGGAGACTGAGGCAAGAGAATGGCTCGAACCCCAGAGGCAGAGGTTGCTTTTAAAAAATTTATGCGGCAGCCAGGCATGGTGGCTCATGTCTGTAATACTAGCACTTTGGGAGACTGAGGCAGGTGGATCACTGATCCGAGGAATTCAAGGCTAGCCTGGGCAACTTAGCAAGCCCCCATCTCTACAAAAAATTTAAAAATTAGCAAGTGTGGTGACGTGTGCCTATAGTCCCAGCTACTCGGGGTTAAGGCAAAAGGATTGCTTGAGGCTGAGCCGTTATGGCATCACTGCACTCTAGCCTGGGTGACAGAACAACCCTGTTTCAAAAAATTAAAAATTTACATAAAGAACCACAGTCATTTTTCAGGGATTTTTTTTTTTTTTTCAGTACTTTCCCTACCACCCCCGATGGAGGCTCTATTCACAAAGTTTCAAATTTTTTCTTAGCTTGGAATCCAACACCTTTTCTCCCCCTACCCCCCACACTAGGGAATTCCACAGATCCTTTTTTTTAAAAAAAGCTATGTACAAGTACATTAATTATATTAACCAATTTTTTTTCGTTTTTTTTTTTTTTTTTTAACAGACAAGCCTACTATCCCCAGAGAAATCTTTGAAAATAGTGGAATCCTTGTTACAGATGTAAATAACTTTATAGAAAATATACAAAAAGTAGCAGCTCCATTTAGGAGTAGTTATTGGTAAGAACACTTTTTATGTAACTTTCACACTGAGTTGGAGTTGTTGATGGCACATACTGACATTTGTGTCTAAGGGAAACAGTTGGGAAACTTTATATTTCACGCTATGAAGTATTTAGTGGTGGAATTGCTGTTTGGCATGAATAGGAATTCCTGAGTTATCACAAAGTAACCAACCTACTTAAAATCATCCATTTTATCTAAATGATGCGCATTTTCACTTACTGTTAAGTTGGATTGCCATAACATAACCGTAGAATACATAGGAGTTTCCCCCACTAGAGAGAGCATCTGGCTTATAAAATATTTCTTGGTCATATTATTTTAAGAAGTTCTTACCAATTTTGTGTGTCTTCAGGTGACTCAACTGCAGCCTACCTGGATATGGATGATGCCAACAAAAAATTACCATTTTCCTTTTCCTTTGGAAAACTTGTGAAGACACATGTGAACAGTCTTATATTTGAAAAATCAGTGTTCTACAACTTGGAAAGTTTTCCTTTCATTTTTTTATAATTTGCTGAAATATGTCACAGTGGCACTGTCATTGTCTGTTAGCTTTGGGTTGCAGTGCTAGAAATTCTTTTAAATTATTTTCATTTTAAACAAGATGCCTTCTAAGCTATTGAGCTTAATATTAAAAATACAAATTTTACAACATTTACTTAGTTGGAGCAAAAATAAGTCTATTTTAACAAATAGTTTTGTTTTTGCATGCTAATGTCAGAAAGGCATATGACGCACATTATGGTCTTAACACCCTTATAAAAACTATCTTAAATGGTTTTATTTGCTATTATACAAACAACACTACATAAACTTAAGACATTTTTTCCTAAATGGTACAAATTTATAAACTATCAATTTTCACTTACGGTTTTTGTAAATACTACACTACAAAAATCAGCTTTGAGAAAGAATCATTTATTTATGATATTGAAATTTCTACAGTAAAAACTCAAAACCAAGCAAAAAAAAACATTTGTAAAATACATGTTATGTATTTGGAGCAAAGGGTTTTGTAACTAATTTGTTTCATTTTTTAAATAAAGACAACTAAAAATCTCTTTCAGCAATGATTTTTTAACAAATTGAGCTCATCTGGAGAGGAAACCACTACTTCTGTCTTTTGGGCATGGCCTGTTCTGGTTCTGGTGTTTTCCCTCCCAAGGTGAAGTACACTGAGCAAGTTAATTGGCAATTTCACGTGGCCTTTACAGAGAAACTTCTTTCAGATGTCATTAAGTTGGTTTTTATTATTCCTACCTAAATAAAAGAGCTTTATTGGAGTTTTAATTGTTAATAGAACCCTAATTTTATTTTTTCCCCAAGGACAAGAATCTAGTAAGGGTACTTTTAACTATCCAGTACAGTGAATTAAGACAAGTAAGCGGTTACACTTTCCAACACCTACCTTCCTGAATACTCACCTTTCAAATTGGGCCTAATAATGCCCACCTCCCCTTGCTGAAAAGCCTTCCAGCACCCACAAGGCTCTTTCTGTTACCACGCTGCCTTTTCTGTAACTGTACTAACACTCAACCAAACCGTATCATGTGTTCCCCCAAACTGAGTTCTCCCAGTAACTATCTTTGGCTCCACTGGCCTGGCACACACAGGGTATTCAGTAAACACGTTAAATGAATAAGATTTTTTTTTCTTTTATTACTAACCCAGCTTGGGCCTTTGCCTGCGTGGAAAGACAAGAGAAAGGCTTGCTGGAACGTTAGATAATTTGATCATACAGATAAAGCAGTGGACACTGCTTTATCTCAACCATGGACACTCAATGACATCTGGAGACATTTTCAGTTGTCATTCCAGGATGGTCCTGTTGGCATCTAGCGTGTGGAGGCCAGGGATGCTGCGACAATCAACCCTACCCTACAATGCACAGACTGGCCCCTACAACAGAATGATCCACCCCGAAACAGCTGTGGGAAGTTGAGAAGCTATAAGATAATCACTGTGGCAATCTGAGTAACCATCTAAATCACCACCCTAGTTCCTCCAACACATCATCTACCTTAGTCTGTCTCCACGTAAGTCAGTCTTTATCTGTGGTAAATAACAACATCTGTGGTGAGGCTCATCACTGTCCAGGGAAAAGGCCGTATATGTAAACACTTTATCATTTCAATTATAGGAAAACTATTAAAGTACCTATTCTACCTGACAATTCACTTACTCCCTTACAACTGCTGCTATAAGCAAAATCAAACACTGTAACCTGTATTTTTGTGCAGAAAAATGTTTTTCCTAAACTGAGATTATCAGTCTAGTAATTGCACTGTGTCAAGAATAAAACTTGAGGTCTACTCACAGGGACACCAGACGACAGGACCGGCTGTAATCCATCCAGATCAGGAGACGCCCACGCTCTCCGCTGCTCAACACCTGACTGACATTGACTCCAGTGCTACTGAAGGAAGCATGGCAGCTGTGACCCTGGCAATCAGGACACATACAGTGCAGTAGTTTCCAGAATTTGGCTTTATTTTGCAGTACAGAAATCATTTGGAGCCATTTTGAGGCAGAAGTAGAGGCTCTGTCAATACTGCATTGCAGCTTGGTCCACTGAAGAAGCCACGCCTGAGACAAAAGATGCTCTCTACACTTTACCCGCTTTATGTTCGCTTCCTCTCCCCTTTTCCCTCATCAACTTTATTAGATTAAAACACCACATACGGGCTTTCTCCACATGACTCCCTGTGTCTGGAGTTTGGTTAGAATGTTATGCCCACATAAACCAAATTTGTGGCTATGCTATTTGGACCCTGCCATAACACTTGACATAATACAAAATATAAAGTCATAGGGAAAACTGGATGCCGTCCCAAACCATGGAATATTCAATTTAGAATCTCCTGAATGTCAAGAGGACAGATGGCACACAACCTGTATGGATCCAGCTCTTGAGCAGAAGCACATAACTGTAAAGGCTACACTGATTAAAGATACAAATACTGCCTCAGTATCAGTACCCCAATGTTTACAAACTGCTGTATTGGTATCCCAATGTTTAAAACTGATCCTCCACTAGGAAAAAAAAAGCCAGTTTGCTTAAAGTGAACAGAATATGAGAACTGCCAATTCTGAATAGCCACTCCATGAAAACAAGTTAATACATAATATTAGAAAGATGAAGGGAGGAATATTTACTGGCACAGCGCTCTTCATTCTCTCCATTTTGATTACAAAAGCAGGCCTTACAATACTGATTTCACATCATATGCATTATTTGCCACATTGTAAATTTGTCCTAATTAGATAATAACATGTACTGCTGTTAGTCTTCCCCATAGATGTCGTTTTTCTTGCGCTTCATTTCCTCAAAGTCAAACTCTGATCCTGTCATCCTCTTATAGATGTTTTTAATGTCATCACATGTTGTCTCGAAATGAGTGGTAGCATCGTATGTGCGGGAAATAAAGATCTGAAAACAAAAATTACAAAGACTTAAGACTATGGAGGGATACCTTCCAGTGAACCTGCCCGTACCCTCCCACACCTCCATACTCACCTGGCTTTCTGTTCCCAAGTCTTTCGGTACCAGGAGGTCACTGATGCTAATAAATCTGGAAGGAGAGAGAATCGAGTCAGGTGAGCTGGTTCCCCACCTAACCCTGGCTCTGCCTGAAATTCTGAGGTACAGATGACCCACAGAGCAGCCAACAGCTACCTGCCTTGCCCTCACATTCCTCCCACCATGGAACCACAATCAAAGGCCTCAGTTTGCATCCTGGCAGATAGAAAAGAACACAACTCACTTCTGTTCAATTGGTTCCAAGAGCTCCAAAGCTGGTCTGATTTCCTTCTCAGGCTCCTTGGTTTCCACAGTGGTACTAACTATGGCGATGTACTTCCCTTGTGCCGCCACATTGTGCGCAGAGGAGATCATGCAGACATAGATATCTAGAAACAAACACCACCAACTCACTGCCTCAAGTGTGTCCATCTGGGACCCACCCAGCACACTCAGGTGTCAACCATATGTGGATGTGAATGACAATGACTTAATAGGCAAGATCTTCTACACTTAAAGTTCTGAATGATCAGAGTTGTAAAATACACAAATAGTTAACAATCTTTTAACTTACTAGAGATTAAGAATTTATGTGGTGGTGAGCTGCCAAACTTTGGAATGAGATCTCCTAACAGCTCTGTCATACCTAACTGAAAAAGCTGCCAAACCATATTAACTATTCTGGGATTTTCTTCCATTCTGGACCATTTGGAAAGGTTCTGAATGGCTAAGGAAGGATGTATTTAGTACTGATGTCGTCTTTTACTTACTAAAGTAATGTAAAATTGCAGAATCCACATAAACCACTTCTGAGTTGGCATTAGAATTCTCAATTAGACTTGGTCTGTATACTACTCAGCCAAGTAACTGTAGTGTCCAGTCTAGAAAATCATTTGTATAGGAGAGCATTTAAGGACAAAAAAATCTATTACGGGACCTCCTTTATTCTTTTTACACTTGCAAGGACCCAGGAAATGCTTGGGAACCTTTGGAAGATTAAGTCCAGTCCCTTTGTTCTAGAGATAATCTTTCGTGATTGGGGGGGGGGGGGGGGGGGGGGGGGGAGGGGCTTAGTGTGTGTGTGTGTGGTTTCTGAACAGTCTGACTCTGTCACCCAGGCTGGAGGCAGGCGCAATCACAACTTAAAATAATCTCAAGTTCCTGGGCTCAAATGATCCTCCCACCTCAGCCTCCCGAGTAGCTAGGACTACAGGCATGTTAAGCCATTCCTACCCTAATTTTATATATATATATATATATATTTGGTAGAGATGAGCTCTCCCTATGTTTCCCAGGCTGATATTGAAACCCTGGCCTCAAGCAGTCCTCCTGCCTTGGCCTCTCATGATTTCTTATGTGGGAAAAAAATAATAATATAGCTCTTACCTGTCTCATAAAACCAGATTAAGCTGAAGTTTAGATAAATAAAGATTTGGTTGGGGCTTCTAGTTGAAAGAAAAATGGAAACATCCAGGGGTTACAAACAACTGGCTAAGTAAATTAGGACTTGCAATTTTAGACCCGTGTCCTGAAAGGTGGACACTGCTGGAATCAAATGTAAGTACTAAGTTTACAAATAAGGACACAGAAGCAGCTATATCATTAGCTCAAGAATATACTGGGGTCAGTTAACTATTAAGCATAAACCTCTATAGGCACCTACTGTTGGTCAGAGCTGGGAGCCTCAGGTTTCACCTAGCCCAGTCTGTTCATTCTACAGGTGATGGACATAAGTCTAGGGCTGGCTCTGAGTCGAACCTGTCACTGTTAATACAATGCTGCAGAACCGGGAAGCGTTACAAGGATGACATTTTCCCCCTCATATGTAAACCAAAGTCTGTTCACTAACAGAGCACACACAATTAGGAATTTGGAATAAAACACAAAGCAAATAATAGCTTAAAAAATTCTACGAACATCTGCGGGTCTCCAAACCTCACCTGACTTTCGATTGACTTGGTTCTGCGGAATAATGATCTGGCAGGAGTTGGCATCATTGGTGTTCTTGATGGGGTGGCTGAGGATGCAAATGACTCTGATCACCTGGCCCACTTTTTCTACTCGATCTTTTACATAGCTGGGGTCACAGATGAGCTGCTTACAGCGAGCAATCTGTAACAAAGCATTTAAGAAGACACTGAGGCTGACACAGATATATGGAAACACATCCCACGTTCATGGTTTTGAAGATTTAGTATTGTTAAGATATCAAAAGCCATCCTATGGTTCATACTGGTTCCCAAGGGATTGCATTCTGGAACAACCAAAGAAATCTTAAAAGAACAGCAGTAAAGCTGGAGGACTCACTCACTAAAAAGCTACAGGGATCAATTCAGTGTACCGGCATAATGACAAACATGGACCAATGAAACAGAAAAAGCCCAGAAAGAAACCCTCGCTTCCACAATACAATGATTTTTGACAAAGTTGTGAAGACTATTCAATGACAGAAAAACAGTCATTTCAACAAATCGTTCTAGGGAAACTATCCACATGCAAAAGAATGAAGTTGGACCCCTACCTAACATCACCCACAAAAACTAACTCAAAATGGAAGAAAGACCTAAATGTAGTATCTAAAACTATAAAACTCTTACAACAGTGCAAAACTTTCATGACACTGGAGTTGGCGGTGATACCTTAGATCTAAAACCAAAGACACAGGCAACAAAAGAAAAACAAATTTCATGAAAACAGGATTTCATGAAAATTTAAAAATCTTGTACATAGGCATTAGGGCATGTGCCTGTAATCCCAGCTACTTGGGAGGCTGAGGCAGGAGAACTGCTTTAGTCCAAGAGTTTAAGTTCAGTTTAGGAACACAGCAAGACACCATCTCTTTAAAAAAAAATTGTGTACCAGAAGACACTAATCAAGAATTCAGGCAACTCATAGAATGAGAAAAAATATCTGCAAATTATATATCTCATAAGGGATATATCACAGTGTATCAAGAAATCCCAAAACAATAAAAAAACCCGGATTCAAAAATGATCAAAGGGCCAGGTGCAGTGGCTCACGCCAGTAATCCCAGCACTTTGATAGGCCAAGGTGAGCAGATCACCTAGGTCAGAAGTTCGAGACCAGCCTGACCAACATGGAGAAACCC